TCAAGTTTTGCAAGAATCTACATTTTATTACAGATTCCGATAGAAAACCTATCCAGGTATAATATTTGTACGGCAAATTTTTTCTTGAAGGCGACAAACCCCTAGAAATGGGCGTGGCAATTATAGGACTAAAGTTTGCAAAACGCAGATTTTATTGCGGATTTCGGAAGAATATCGCTTCGTTAACAACATTTGGTCCACAACTTTTTCAATCAAAGAATATTCTAGAAATGGGCATGCCTATATTAAAACCAAAGTCCAAAAATTTAGACTTTATTGTGGATTTCGCCAGAATATCTATCAGGGAAGCCAACTCGTGGGGAATTCTCCGATTTGCGGGGAATTTCAGTTTGCGTGGGGAATCGGGGAATGGACCGTTTTTTGTGGGGAAGTTCAGCTCGTTCAATTCTAATATAATACATTTTCAAATGGCCAAAATGACCGGTAATTTTTTAGAATTTTCCTTGTCACATTTGCTTTCATATAACGAATAAACATAATTTATTTTCATATGGAAGAAAACCGCACAAAGCTTCGGCAAAAAATTCTTAAATGAAAAATTTTAGACTCTTGAAACTTGCACTTTATTATAATAGAATTGAGTGGGCTACAAAACGGCATACTCAAAATCTTTCTAGAAAATCCAGTTAAAAAGCTCGAAATTTTTACGAAAGTTTGTAGAATTTTTTCAAATATTGCACAAAGTTTGAAACTTGGATTTATACGGTATTTTTTAAAGAATAACTATATCTTTATAAAAAAATAACTCAAATTAAATAACAAAATAAAAATAATTGGTGTGACTAAAACCTGTTCGACCACTCTATGTACATACGTAAATATTATATAAACATATTTTTATTATTTATTTGCTAACTTCATAAAAGTTTTGTTTGGTTTATGAATACATAGATGAATTACATTTCAAAATAAAATAAACAGAAAGACCAGAAATATATCAAAATACATAAAATATTTGTATGTGTTTTTTTTATAAATGAGATATCTATGGGTGGGGAATTTTACGAAATTTCGGGCAAAATCGGGGAATTTCATTGTCGAAATCGGGGAATTCTCAAAAATGAGTTGGCTACCCTGATATCTATATAGATTGAAGAAGTTGTGGAAAAAATATTGTTAACGAAGCGATATTCTGCCGATCCCCGCAATAAAATCTGCGTTTTGCTAATTTTAGTCCTGCAATTGCCACGCCCATTTCTAGGGGTTTGTCGCCTTAAAGAAAAATCTTGCCGTACAAATATTATGTCGAAATCCGCAATAAAATTTTACTTTTTGGAAAAACCCGATGTTTAACACCTTACCAAATATATCTCAACATAAGTTTTCAAAAACAAATTACAAAAAACTGTTGATTCTCACAAAATAAACCATCTCGCTATAAAGAAAAATATTTTAAAAATAGTTCTTGAAAAACCCAAATGTTTTTTTGAACCACGCTTTATATAGAGAATTAAGGATTTCGATGGTATAATTTTGAGTCCCTAATTTACTGGTCTTCACTATGCAAATCATCTTATGCATAGAAGCCCGTTTCATAGCTTTAAAATGACGTTAAGATTAAGTCTCTACTATTAGCTGAACCCGAGATATAACAATTTGAAGAAGTACATGATTAGTCAGAATCACGAAAAAATGCAAACTTTGACAGATCATATCTCCGAAGAAAAAAAAGAAAAAAAAATTTCGAACACGTGTTAGCTTCGTTCATGTATAGACCCCACAAAAAAAATTTGAAGTGAATCGGAGACATGACCTAATTTTTTTTAAGAAATCCGTCCGACTTAAAAAAGAATGGCTTATATGGTCTTATTACATGCTACTAGAAAACTCGCTAGGTGGTGCTGGAGTAGAGTTACTTATAAAAATCGTATTTATTAACCGATTTCGTTCAAATTTTAAATGTGAGCTATGTACCTGTATGATGAAAAATACATTTATAAAAATTGACCCGATTAGTGCCGCTGGAGTCGAGGTTGAAATTCATAATACGTATTCATTTTATGGTAAGCAATCGTTTTGCAGAAAATGGACCAAATGAATGGCGCTGCAGCCGAAATGTATAGAAACCCCGTATGGTTGGTCTGCTTTGACCGTATGTTTAAGTTATACGAATTTAGTTTTTAGATGTCTAAATGAAGGATGGGGTTAAGTTTGTCTGACGCCCTCATGCACGATCATGCGATCTTACATCTACCTAGAAATGAGGTCATAAATATTACCACCAATTGTAAAAGTGGCGAATTAACAAGGAAAGATCACCGTAGGTATATCAATTGCTTCATTTAGAAAGATATTCAACACTGAGGGAAAAAGAGCCTTGTAAAAATAACACTGATCGTTGACAATTTTACATTTTGCAATGTTGAGTGATTTTTATTTGAATTAAACTCTTTTCTAGTCAAAATAAACATTTTGTAGTTGATCTAAATAAAAAAATGTCAAAGTAACACCGATTCATTGTAAAACTTAATTAACAACGTAACCGATTTCATTTTAACATCACCTTTTTTGTTTTGATATGGTTACGTTGTCAAATCAAAGTGGCAATGCAGTTCACCTCACGCTAAATGGCATACGGCTGCTTGCAAAGCAAAAACAAAACACACAGCTAACGGTTATTCGTTTACTTGCGTTTGTTGCGCTTTCTCACTTTCGGCGTCATTTCAATTATTGAACAATTTTATTTGGTGAAGAATATTTGACAAGAATAGTTCAGAGGATTAACAAATTATCAAATGCCCCTTTTTGGTGACGTTATTTATGCGGTGGATGGCGAAATAATTAATATTACTAATGTGCCATGTTTAAGTGAGGAGGAAAAGGGTGATGAAAAGCTTAAATCTTTGTTAAAAGACTTTGAGCTGGAAAATGTTTTTACTACTTAAAATGTAAGTGATTGTGCCCGTTTTATATTTGTGCCGGTTTTGTATTTTGATCAATATTGCAGCGGCGCAAGTGACCTATGAAAGCTTAAAATATTTAAGAAAGGAAGACCTAAAAGAAGCTATTCCACCATTGGGTCTTAGAGTGCAATTCCGGGAAAAGCTGCTCATATGGAAAAAGCAAACGTTAAGGCAAATTTTAACATACACGGATGATCACAAATTAGCGAATGGTGACTTTATCTTTTTAAGATTTACAACTTCTTACAAGTTAAAATTTGTCTGCTAATTTTTTATAACCATAACCATATGAATCAAAGTTTCAAACTAATTGCAAAAATTTAACAAATTCTCATCAAAATTTGAAACTTTTTAACCAAATTTTTTTTTTTAAATTTTCGGTATGCTATTTATAGCCCATTAAATTGGTTTGAGGTGGCTACAAATTTATGTTTATTTTTTGCTGAAGTTTTTTACCAGTTTTTCTCAAATAACGAATGCAATTACAAAAAATTGCGTCCGATGTTTTATTATACTAAAACTTCATGGGCTATAAAAAAGTATACCCAAAATATTTTGGAAATTCTGGTTGAAAAGTTTGAAATTTTGATGAAAATTTAGTATTTAGTTTAAAACATCGATCCATATGTTTGTAGCTGTAGCATGAACAATATTTTTAAACAAAAGTATAAACGAAGTTTTACTTAATACATATTGTGAGTTTAAAAAAATATATAACCATTGGCTCAGTTGTGGTCATCAGTGAACATACACATTGCAAAGCATTGCAAATATTAAACAAAAAACCGCACGCACTTTTGATTGCCAGTGTATATAGTCAGCTTCAAAAATATTAATACCCTGACGTTTTGAAAATTGTATTTGTTTATATTTTCCATACATAATTTTTTTTTATAATAATATAGTTCATTCAACAGCAAAAACCACAATAATCAATTTTTTTTTTAATTTCATACAGTCTTAGGAAAGTGCAAGAAATACCAAAGAATTTTCATAAAAATTTAGTTTTTTTAATTCGATTTCTTATAAAAATTTTAAGAATAAAGTTTTGTAGCTCTTTAATTTTCAGTATAATAAAGTGCAAGTTACATTTTTGAGAAGTTTTTTGTCGAGGGAGTTGCTCATTTGCCTCCATACGACGTATTGAAAACTTTAAATTTCTTGGTATTTCTTGCATTTTCCCCGAGTTCTGTATGTTATTAAAAAAATTGATTCTTGTAGATTTTACTGCTTAATTATAAACGCACCGCATATTGAAAATTTTTTAAAATTTGTTTTGTTATTTAATTTAAGTTATTTTATTATAGAATTTTTTTGAATTCTAGTTAAACAAACTTCGCAACTTGGATCTAACAAAAAATAAATAAATGCTTAAAAGTTGCCAATATGTGTTGCGTTTAAAATTTTGAAACAGGGTGCATAGTACATAAGTATAAAAAATAATTTTTCCTAAACCCCTCTCCCTTCAATTTTTAGTTTGGCTTTGATGAGGATACCATTTCAATTGATGCAAATGTTAGAAACTGGATTAATGAATCGGCACTTTCGCCCTGTTCAAACAACAATTTGTCAGCTTGCTTTACTTATATCAAGAAGGTAATTTATTAAACATACCCATTGCACAAAAATGTAATACATATTTTTTAGGACTTAGTTACTTTATTGACGTCAACAGCACGAGGAAAAAAGTTTTGGAGTTTTATAAAAAGGCTGGAAAACTTGATGATGCGAACCGGGACGATTTAATAGCCGTTTTAGTTGAAGAATTATGTTACAACAACATATCTCTTAAACCAAGAGAATTTCCATCCATAGTGAACGAAATTTGCTCGATTTTCCCAAGCGAATCGAATACAAAGGTAATTTTGTGACATAGATCTGTGCTCGCTTGCAATATCCGCGTAAGTCTGTAAAATACTGTTAAATACTATGAATTTTATTTAACCCCTTTAAATGAAAAATCAAATGGTACTTTATAGTAGTAGTTATTCGATTATTGTAAATGAGCACAGAATTATAGTGTCTTAGGTGCATAATAGACTCTTACTAAAACAAATTTGACATTTCAGGAATATTATTAAATAGCCCGCGAAGGGGAAAAAAATCCAAGTGGAAAATTTTACTATAAGTTTGTCAACTGTCGAAGAGACAAAAGACATTTTCTTCCCTCACCTTGCATCAACGACAGTGCATTAAATACCATCTCGTCTGAAGTAAATGAATTAGATGATTCAGTTATAAATGCATTGCAAACGTCACTTAGCAGAGAAAGCGCGAATTGGAATGAAGTTTGTGACAAGTGGTCAAAAACATTCCAAGCCAGACAGTACGATCTGAGGAGCTTAACAAACATCGACTTTTTAAAAGCATGGCCCAAACTATCAGATTCAAGAGCACCTGAACTGGTATTTAAAACATACGTATGTACATATATATCTCATTGCTGCGCCAACAAAAACAATTATGTGATATTTGTAAATTTCTTTATTGCATTTGTTATTAATACTTTCTATTGGAAACATTTCTGCATTTGCGGTTTTTTTATAACTGTTTATGACTGTTTGTGATTTAGAAGTGATAAACAACAATGTGCTTGCAGTACTAGAAATACTCTGTAAAAAATAAATTTTTTTTTTGCTCTCTTGAAAAGTTACATATGTTGGCGCGGCGACGATATATGGGCATAGCTCTGGAACTTTTCATTTTATTACTTTTATTTTTTTACTATTTTTTATTTTATTAATATTTTTTGATTTTTACTGTTTAGATCAAAATAGATTTCAATCTCCTGTATCCATCGAAGCAAGACTTGTTGTATTCAAAATGGGAGCACTTCAAATTAAGCATTGTGCGCTTTTACGAAACTCGCATAAGTAATGAAAATTGCAAACAAATGTTTTTATTGGCAAAGTCCTTAAAACACATAGGTAACTAAATTACATTTTTTCCTTCGTATATGTTTACTAATAAAAATACTTTTAGACACTCAGGATTGCCTAATTTCGACATTGCTAATTTCAGTACTGCAAACCGCTTCAAGATTTGTTAACACTACGGGAAAATTACTATTGTCGATGCACAGGAGAGCTTCATATTGCGTTTAGAATCAGTAAATGACTATCAAAGAAGAGTTGACGAAATCATTTGCAAGTATTATTCAGCTAAAACAACGATTCAGCCATTTTTAATAGTAGTAGGACCTGAAAATGAGCTTAAAGATTTTTTTATTTATTTTGACAATACGTTATACAAATTCAACTCATTTATTGAGAGCTTAGACTTGTGCTTTAAAATATTTCATGTTTTTTCCTTAAAATATTCTCAAGGATGTGAATTAGTGTGGGTCTTTATACAAAACTACTTTTATGACATAACAACACAGTTCGATTCCAAATCATCGAATATAGTTTCACTTATAAACTTTTTAAAAACTGCTTAGTGCTTAAATTGTTATTTAACTCAATTTATAATTTTGCATTTATATGTAATTTAGTTCTGGACTGCCAATGTTTGTTTGTTTTAAGTGTCGTAAAAAAATTTCTGAATCAATGGTTTTAATTCATCACTTTAAATTTAATCATTTATTGACAACTAAATTTCTAAAGCTTAAATGTGTTCAAAATGATTGCAATCAAGTGTTTACTAATGTGGTACTGTCAGACCTATAAATTTAACAAAAGTTGACTACTTTTTAAAAATAGTACAAACTGAAAACATTGATTATAGCAACGTTAACGTTTTAAAAGAAGCTATATATCAAGGTACATAATATAAAACCGGTTATTACTTGGCTTACAATGACAATGGGCTAACTCTATGTAAAATAAAGAATTTTCTGTATCAATCCTCAAATCTATATGTTTTATGTAACCCAATTATTTTAAAATCATTTAGTTCCCATTTTCAATCATATGAAGTGGGAAATAGAATTGATGAAATTCGAATTATAAAAATATCTTCTTTTATAAGTAAGCCATTGCATCTATACTCGATAAATTATGGAAACACTTATTGTAGAATTAAACAGATTTAACTTTTTTACATACCGTCATGCTCAACTAAATAAGTACGTGACATTTTGGCCAGTTTTGGCTATGTTTCTCCAGTTTACAAAAATAATAAACATTAAATATTATTTTTGTAGAAAAGTCTAGCTCATTATAGAGTGGCTATCATAATAATACGCCAGATATTGACAAGTTTTGACTAAAAATGTATTCTAATTTTAATTATAATTTTTTTTTTAATATAGCTTATTCTTTAACAAAAACCGTATACATCCAAGTTTAAAACTGATTAAAATGTCGCTTACTTATTTAGTTTACCACAAGTGTACATGCATGTATATATATATATATGTACTTTTTATGTTGAATAAGCATTAAAAACTTCGAAATATCCTTATTTTAAGTTGTGTATTTATTAAAAAACTAATAAAATGTCAAACCAAATATTCTGCATTTTTAAATCAGCAAAGAAATTCATTTCAAAGTAACCCTTAAAAAATGTCAAATTGAATATGTATCAATGTAAACCTAACAAAAAAATCGCCTTAACTTAGCTTTGAAATCATTTCAAATTGGCATTGTTTAAATGTTGATTCAAGATACCTCTTCTTCAAAAGAACAACTATATCAACATAAAAACAACCCTTAAACAATATTAAATAAAGGAGATTTTAACGTTAAATTAACAACTGTGTGCTGCTATTTCATCACGAAATATGCTTAAAACAAATTTTGTAACGCTTTTTAATTAACAATATACTGATGTCTAGTCCACACCTAAAAATATTAAATTGACTAAGACTTAACGTCAAATTAAATATAAATTCGGTTGATTTTCATTGTAATCTACTAAACTTTAAAATAACTTTTTTTTAAAGTTGATATAACAGTTTTCAAGGTTGGCTGAATATCATCACTGTTTTTTGTATATTTGACCTCGTTTTTGTAAAATTTACGTTGTTTTTTCCCTCAGTGAAGAGATCACACGACTCATTTAGCCAGTGTACCGGAAAACTTTTCATCCTGTGGGACAGCTAGGATTCTTGGCCCTCCTAAAACAGAAAACGCACTTCTGTGCTCTTGAGTTTCCTTATAAGAACTTTTATTGGCATACGCATCGCAACAATATTGTAGTTGCAAGATCATAGAAAAAGATTACGCATGCTTGGCAGAGATCTCACAGGTGGAAATAAGTTCTTATTAGGCGCCGCGAAGTAAGCGAGCATTGGCTAGTATTAAAATAAAAATGTTAATAAGCCACAATAAAATTCACAAACACATAGTTTAGGATTAGCCTGCTTTAAACTATACAATAAAGCAAATTATTATATAGAATTTACAATAACAAGTCATATATAAATAGCGGCAAATCAGCTGCACTTGATAGTAGTAGGTTGAATAAGGAAATGAATTAGCAACAAGAGCTTACGGGGTGTGCATAGCTCACTGGTTACCGCTTCTGACTTTGCACTAGTGATGGGCGAGTCCGAGATGTTTTAGTCGATTGTCTCGATTGTTCAAATATCTCGATTGTCCTCATGTTTTCTCTCGTAGACGATTTGCCACCCGAAAAAAGTCGTGCTTAAGCTGAACTAACATATTCGTTAACAATCGACCAAGTCATCTCGGTCTCGCTGCTGGCCAGCGGTTGTTAAAACATCTCGATGGTTCTCTGTCGCAGACTGTGGCAACGAATTGCCAGTCGCGTTTAACATTCAGCATTAAGCAAATGCGACAAGAAAAATTCTAAAAAAATCAACAGTAATTTTTGGCCATTTAAAACTTTATTATACTATAATTGAAAGAGCTGAAATTCCCCACAAAAAACGGTCCATTCCCCGATTCCCCACGCAAACTGAAATTCCCAGCAAATCGGAGAATTCCCCACGAATTGGCTCCCCTGGTTCACACGATCTCGTCAATGATAAGTCAGTCGACTCGAAACAATCGAAAAACATCTCGACTCGATTGTAATTTTGCAACGATATCGATTCTCTCGATCGTTTAAACATCTCGGACTCGCCCATCACTACTTTGCACATCGATGATGCGGGATCGATCCCTGCTGAAGTCTAGAAAAAGATGTCTGATGACGAGATGTGGTGATCTCCGAAATAGCTGCTATAACTTCTGCCGCTTAGACTTTGTTGCTTTTTCCATTTTTTTCTAATAAAAAAATCGTGATACAAAGCTCAAAAACAATATTAAAATATTATTGACGTAGAATACGTCTTACGTTTCGATATGGGTGCTATGCTCAAATGTTGTAGTTGTAATTTTTATAGCTTAACGAAAACGCTTATTTCACAAGAACTAATGAATCGTCGGCCGCTTTGGTGTAGTGGTAAGCAGTGCGCGCTTTCACTCATCAACACCTGGGTTCAAGCCCTGGTCAAAGCAACATCGCAAAAAACATAGAAAACGGTTTTTTCTTAACAGCGGTCGTCCCTCGGCAGGCAAAGGCAAACCTCCGAGTGTATTTCTGCCATGAAAAACAGCTTCGCATAAAAACACAATCGCCGTTCGGAGTCGGCGTAAAACCGTAGGTCCCTCCGATTTGTGTGACGACATCAAGGCGCACGCCACAAGTCGGAGAGGCTCGGCCAAACACTAACATATGTGCAAGCGCCAATCTATTATTATTATTATTAATGAAGCGACTTCAAAGAAGAGTATGGCGTTTCAAAGATAAAATTCCAAACCTATCTACAGATTCATTTCTGTAAGTAACCAATTCGGTTTCTGTCATAGAATATTGGCTTATTTTGGGGTGAATTTTGTGCCTTTAAAGTTCTCTAGCAGCTTATGATTTGCAAATATAACTTTCACTTTCGGGATATGGAATGTTTGGATCAATGGAAATATTATCGTGTTCAAATTTTATATAAATCAACAAATATTGAGCATTTTAAGGCAAAAAATTTTTGAAAAAATTAAAAAAAAATTATGAATTAAAAAAAAAATTTTAGTACCGAAATGCTCGAAAACCGCTCCAATGATTTTGTTTTTGTTTTCTTTAATTAAAAATTCAAGTATTTTCCTTTCGTTTGGTATAAGGGAAGAATTGGTTGATATCTTCTAAGTATGTTTATTTTATTCAAATATATGGGCATAAATGATTTTCCACATAATCACACCGTCATCATTTCGTAAACACGTACCTACGCTGTAAGTGAGAGAAGGAGATAAAAAGTACGTGGTTTAGGTATTTCGGCTTTTTGGTTTGAAAATATTTTGCAGAGGGTTGCAGTATAAGCAATAGGTTAAATAAATGACTTCAATATGAATATAAATCAAAAGTGCTGCCATTGTTCTCTATTCGTTGCTGACTTAAATATTTAATAACTCAAGATTGGAGTACTTTTGGTTGCAGTTGCATTTCTCATTCAACCTTTTTAACTCATTATGAAATTAGTGAAGCAAAAAAGAAAATAATTAGTTAACACCTAATTCCTCCCAAAAAAAGAGTTCATCCACCGATTCCCCACGTAAACTGAAATTCCCCATAAAAGACGGTACGTTCCCCGATTCACCACGCAAACTGAAATTCCCCGCAAATCGGGAATTCTCCACGAGTTGGCTACCCTGCTTTGAAGAAACTTTATTTCCAAACTGCAAGTAGGAGGGTTGCCACCTGACTTTATAATTATATTCAATTTGAATTAAGAGTACATAATAGATAATTTAAATATGTATCACAATACAAGTGTCAGACGAAAGAGGTTTAAGGAGGTTTTGGTTTAAAAATAATTTGAACAGGATTGCCATCTGTTTTAAAAGTAGAAGTAAACTAACTTATATCAAATATTTAAATATTGGCGTCAAACTAAGGAGTATTAAGAAATATTTAGTTTGAGCATTTATAACATTAAAGAGTTCCACCTGTGTAAAAAGTTAAGCTCAGATTATTTAATAAGTCAAATGAATTATTAAAGTATGGGTATAAATTGCCATGGGTTAAAAAGGTTTTTCTCTGAAATTTATTTAAGAAGGCTGCCATATGCTTTAGAAATTAAATTTAACTTGAATTTAGAGAATTAAATACACAATTTAAATGAAACCAAGGTTTAACAAGGTTTTGGTTTTAAATATTTTGAATAGAGTTGCCACCTGTTTTAAAATTAGAATTTAATTAAAGTATGCATAACCTAAATGAAATATTCAAATATGAAGTGAAACAAAGGTGTTAAGATATCCTTAGTGGGAATAGAATAAAAAATAGGGTTGCCACATGTTTAAAAAGGTAAACTCAAATTGTTTAGTGGGTATCAAACGAAGTGGTTTTAAAAGGGCTTTATTTCTGAACTATATTTAAGAGCATGGTCACGTATTTAAAAAATTAAATTTAACTTAATTCATCAGGCACATGAAATATGTAGATATCACAATATCAGACGCACGAGATTTGTTTATTTCTTAA